TTCAATGCTCCTTCTGCTCCCTCACACATGAAAACACCATTGCCTTTTCCATGCTTCTAGCTCAGATTGTCTAACTTCTTCCTGGCCTAGATAGCAGCCCTTGAGATATCACCGCTGCTTCGGAGGTTGTGGGGCTGGATGTGGATGAGGTGCTGGTGTGTGTAAGACTGGGAGATGGCTGAAGGCGTAGCTCATTGGTGGAGTGCATTTGGTTAGTTAGTGTGCCGGAAACATGGTTCAGTCCCTGGCACTGGAAAGTAGTTGAGACCGAAGACCGTGGTAGCCCATGGGGAGGCAGAAGCAAAGAATTCTCTAGAACAGCTCTGGAAAGTCTGGAGATGAGCCAGTGTTGCTGCTGATCGTGCCCAGGAGACCTGCCCAAGGCCCCTGGGCTGGCTCTTCACTTGGTTTGGGCTTTTCAGTGTCTTTTAGTTTGTTTTCAGGACATGGTGTTTTCCGCCCCCCCTTGGGGTTTCCTGTTTGAATGTTTGAGTTACTTCAGCTTTGATATGTTGTAGAGAAAGGAGAAAGAAAGTAAGAATTTTACCACACACACACACACACACACACACACCCCAAAAAGAATAAAAAAGGAAAAGAAAAACCCTACCCAAACCCAATGCCTTCTTGTAGCTCCAACCAGTTGTCTCGCTTGTAATGGAACATGATCCCAGATCAGGCTGTAGGGTCAGATGTTGGTACCTGCTGTAATTCCTCAAGTAGCCTAAGGCCTGTTTCTCTGATTGTTGGGGACACACTTCAATCCTGGTGGTTGGGGAATACACGAGATATATCTGGTTTTTTGTTTTTTTTTAAAGAGACAAGAAAAGAAATGCATTGTATAGCCCAGCGGTTCAGTACAAAAGTAGGCAATGGGAATTTTGCTTTTTGTCTCTTGACAGACGTGAAAGAGAATCAGATCCCTAATTCCTGGCAATGTCTTTCTTCCCAGCCTCCTCTCACATCCCACACTTCCCAGGGTCGTCTTTGACAAACGTGAGGTGCCCACGCTCCCTTTGTTTTTACAGTGTGTGGGATGATTGTGTCTGTGGAGGTAGAGAATTCTCTCTCCTTTGCTTTCCCGAGTCCCACTCATGACCCAGCAAGACCCCCTTCTGGGGGAGAGAATGGAAGCTGGTGGTGATTGCAGAATTGTCTTTGGTGGGAAAGGGGACTCTCTGAAACTTCCTGTGTCCAGTATGCTACCCTCTCTCAGCTGTGTTTGGAGAAGTGGCATTTGACTCAGTAGTAGTTCATCAAACTCACCCTCATACTGATTTGCAGTCTTCTTGTGGTATTTCCTTCTGTGGTTTTTGAGTTCAATCTATTTAATGGCCCAAGAATGAGAAAAAGGTGTGTGTGTATGTGTGTGGGTGTGGGTGTGAGGTGTTATAAGTCTAAGCAGGATGTCAGGCGTCTTCTTCTGTAGATCACTGCTTTATTCTCTTGAGGTACGGTCTCTCGCTGAGTCGGAAGCTCACTGTTTTGGCCAGGCTGGCTAGCCAGTAAGCTACTGGTGTCTGCCTGGCTTGGCCAGTGCTGGGGTTACAGGCACACGTGGCGGCGCCCGGCCTTTATGTGGGTTCTGGGAATTCAAACTCCGGTTTTCATGCTTCCGTAGCAAATGCTCCTACCCACCGAGCCATCCCTCCAGCTCCGAGAAAAGGATTTCGCGTTCCCCCTTTTAGTCGTGATTCTGCTCACTAGCAGTGCTGATTTGACAATGCCTTCGGATAGGAGGACAGGCAGGCAAGTGGTCGCTCAGGCTGGCGGCTGCCAGAACTGCATGGCCTCTGTCAATGAGTAATGGCTCCGCCATTTATTGGGCAACTCCCATTCGGAGGCCGCTTAATCTTTTTGCCCCTAACAGCTGTCTGATCTACAAAGCCAAGGTGATGATGGCAACCACAGTGAAAACAGCAGCTAGTGTTTGTTGTGTGCTCCGTGAGAAAGATGCTGGGCCCAGCCCTTCCGACCTGTCCCCGCAGCCCTGCGGCAGCTCTGTGCCTCCTGCCCTGTGGCAGTAAAAGGCACACGCGTGTACGAAGCCCTTGTGTGCCAGGACCCGTTCTGTGCTGTCTTCTCTCCTCGATTCAGAGATGGAGGCAGCGGGAGGTTCCTGGGAGCACTCGGGACTCCTCTGTGGCACCGTGGGGCTCACAGGCAAGCAGGAGGTGGCCATGCAGAAGACTCACAGCTACTGTGTGGCAGTGAGACAGAGCTCTTCCTGCTCCTCCGACTTAGAAACCAGGCTCCTAGTAACACTGTCCGAGAACAGCTTGTGCAGATCCTTACGTGACGGTCTAGCCATGCCTGCCTCATACATGCCACCCTGCAGAGTCTCATTCTACCCACCCCTGCATGACTCCCTTGTAGCCACACCGGAACCCCCAAGATTATACTCCCTTCACCCTTCTTGGCCTGAGTTACTTAACTAAAAAATGTAAGCACGTGAGATATGGGGTCAGCTAATTGTCTCTCAGTCTATAAATGATAATATATATATTAGAATGTTAATATATATGTTAGAATGTTAATATATGATATATATCATATATGTGTATGTATGTATGTATGTGTGTATGTATGTATGTATGTATTAGAATGTTAAGAATGGATCCATGTTATTTTCAGGGAAATAGATGAAACCAGAGATCATCATGCTAAGTGAAATTAGCCAGAAGCAGAAAAGTAGCCTGTGTTTTCTCTCATATGTAAAAAGTTTTAAAAAAATGATCTGAAAGAGAGGACTGCTAGGGGAGGGTGAGGGATGGGGAGGAGAGAGGGAAGACAGGAGAAAATAGATAACTACCAGAGCACAATGTGTGCATGTGTGGAACTGTCATGGGAAGCCCCCAGTGTGAGTAGTGGCTGCACTGAGTGAGGGAGATGAGGAGTGCCGGCCTGTGTCCAGGTTGTTGCCTGGTAAGATGCTCATAAAGCTGCCTTCTGGATGGGTTCGTTTTGAGGATAAGGGCAGAAAGCTGGGACAGGGCAAGGGAGAGAAAGAGACAGGAGAGAGGAAGAGACACAGGGAGGAGGAGATGGGGAAGTGGGAGAGAGAGACTGAGACAGAGAAAGGGTGTGGACAAACATGGGGAGAGCCGTTGTCTTCCACGGGTTGTCAGGAAAGGCCTTATTCTGAGGAGAGATCCCCTAAGGGGCTGGGTGGTCCCTCAGATGCCGCTGCACGTGATGGCATCTGACCGATGAGGAGTGTCGAGGGCAGTCCCCAGTCCCCACTGCAGTGACTGAAAGCCCTCTCCTGGCCCCTAACACATACACACGAGCACCAGTCTGTGAATAATGTCAGATGCTGTACCAAGTTCCACCATTGAAAAGAAATGTGACTGGCTGGTGCACACTGAAGAAACTCCTTCTCTGGATTAATTCAGAAGCACATCCTACATCGAAGAGTCCTCCTGGCATTGGGTCCAGTAGAGGCCAAAAGAGACTGTTGGATCCCCTGGGCCTAGAATTTCAGGGATGCTCAGAACTGGGGTCCTCTGGGAGAGTAGCACACTCTTAACCACTGAGCCATCCATCCATCCATCCATCCCTCTAGCCCCAGCTTTGGGTTTTTAAACATACAGTTTGCTAAATCTGGGGAATAGGTAATATAATGATTTTAGAAGTCAAATAACTACTTTGGATAGTCATTTTTAAAATGTTCTTTTAAGTAATGGGAAGTATATTTTAAAATTTGCTGGTAGTATTTTTTCCCTGATTTGTTAGTAAATTCTTTCTTTATTGGGAATATAAATACACATGAAATATCCAGAAGACCAAAAAAAAAAAAAATGATGAAATCATAGGTTCCATGCTGATGAGGGTTTTATTGCAGTTAGTCACTGGAATTTTACTCAGTGATCTGCTGTGGAGGAAATTATTTCAGAACAAAGCCCAGGAGGTTAGGCCACCGATCAGAAGTCCTCTTCCGCATTTATTCTTCAGCTTGTCACATGCTCAAGCAGAGCGTGGTCGGGAATCGCCCAGACACGGCAAAATACTGCAAGCCAGGGCTGGAGAGATGGCTCAGAGGATAGGACCACTGGCTGCTCTTCCAGAGGGCCCAGGTTCAATTCCCAGCACCCACATGGCAGCTCACAACTGTCCATTAACTCCTGATCTAGGGGATCTAACACTCTCATACAGACAGACGTACATGCAGGCAAAAAACACCACTGTCCATAAAATAAAAATAAATAATTTAAAAAATACTGCAAGCCTACCCTCTGCTTACTTGCTCCTTACTTTTTTCCCTTGTTGGACCAGGAATCAGGGTGGGCGTCTGACGCAGCAGACAAAGCGGTACCCATGCTTCTGCCCATTGGCTCACTCCCATGTGACTCAAGGGATGCTGACAGGTCACCAGAGCCTGCCTGGCATGGATCCAGGAGGTACTGGGCGAGAAATGAGGGTGTGCCTGCACGGTGCTGGCGCTTCAGAACTTCAGTTCGCCCCTTCGCTGCGGGGTCACCTGCGTTTTACAGTCCGGAGAACTCAGATCAGGGTGGTCGGCTGTCAGAGTCACACAGGCTCCATGGTGGAAACAGGATCTGAATTCAGGATTCGGAAGCCCATACTCCTTCTGCACGTGGTGGATTATTAATTTTGTAGAAAAGGCTGTTTTATATGTGACACTGATCATGAGAGAAATGGCATGATTCTTTAATTGTGGATTGAGTGTTTGAATACTCTAAAAACGTGTATGTAGGCCTGGGAGGTTACAAAGCCAGTTAGAGGCCATGTCTCAAAGAAAGTCGATGGTATGTCAGGAATGGTGCTAGTGATTGTACACACACACACACACACACACACACACACACACACACACGCACGCACGCACGCACGCACGCACTCACATGCATACACGTGTACCTCATATACACATGCATCTGTGCACAAACATGCACATATACGTGCACACACAAAAATGTGTCTAAATCAATGATAGACACTTGGGGACAAAGTTATCCAGTGTGTCATATGTCTCTTCAAGCAGATGTATAACTATGATTTGCATGTCTGTCTGTTTTGTAGGAAGTGACCAGGTTCACTCCTGGATACTGGTTACAAGCCAAGTCGTCAGCACTGCCTGGAGAATAGCAAGGGCCTCTGTGACGCTGGCGGTGTCCCTTCTGTCCGCGTCCCTCTGCTACTTCAGAAGGCTGCATTTGTATTTAGGGCATCGACTGAAATGGTGGGCCGTCCTTTTGTCTTTCCTTTTCAAAAACACCCTTGCCCCGCAAAACGTTTATATATATAAAACTGTTTCCTTTATCTTTCAGGTGGATTGGATATCTGCAGAGAAAATTCAAAAGTAAATGCTTTCATGCCTATGTTTCCTTATTTTTTTTTTTTTAAGGGCAGAGAGGGCTAAAGAAAGGAGAAGAATGGGAAATGTAGCTGCCTTTTTTTTTCTGTCTTGTCCAGGAAACCTCAGCGTGGAGGCAGAAGTAGATCTACTCAGTTATTGTGCAAGAGAGTGGAAAGGGGAAACACCCCGTGCCAAACTGATGCGGAAGGTACGTCTGCTTGGGGGGGGTCAAGGGAGGCAGGCAGTGTCTGTCGGAATCAGGGTGCACTCAGCTCTGCCTTGCCAAACCCAAAGGTCAACCAGCACCAAATGGGGTGTTATGTAAAGTTACAGCCCAAATCAGAAGCCGAGTAGCTGCTAGATGCTGGCTTTAGGTTTGTTCTGGTTTGCTTTTCGGTTGCTGTGACAAAACATTCTGACCAAAGGCAACTTTGGGGAGGAGAGGATTTGTTTGGCTTATACTTCCAGGTCACAGTCCATCATTGAGGGAAGTCAGGGCAGGAGCTGAAGCAGAAACAGTGGAGGAACCCACTTACTGGCTTGCTCTCCGCAGCTGACCCAAGCTTACCTGCTTGGGGATGGTGCCGCCCACAGTAGGCTAGGCCCTTCCAGATCAGTTGTCAGTCACAACTATCTCACAGACGTCATAAGTTCGTCTAATACTGTCAGTCCCCTCAAGTAGGTTCCCTCTCCCCAGATGGCCCTGGCTCTTGAGTGCAGCTGAGAGGTGAGCTGACAAGGACAGGCTTCAACCTAGAGTGTGTTGTGCTGAGCCTAGAAATCAATATGTCTGTAACTTGAGAGAATGTGAGTACTGCACGGTCTTCGGATCTCTGGCCTTTTAACTTCTGCATGTGCTATGCAGACTCCTCCCTGGAGGGATCAGACACCCGGGCCTAAGTACTTGGAGGAGTTTTAGAATGTTCCATTGGACTGATGTTGGTAAAAATCCCCAACAGCACTGCCCACTCCTGTCTTGGGCAAAGAGGAGGGAGAGGCCCAGAGTCCTCTGGTGCGGTCTTAAAACTATACACTTCTTCTCTGTGGTTGAGTTGGACTCATTATCAGCCCCAAATAACCTGTCCTGGTCTTCCAAGGTTAATCATCTGAAACAGCACGAGGCAGACTCCATACATGTGAGAGTCACTTTAAAATCCCGTGCAGAGGGTCACTGAAGTGGCTCTGAGGAAAAGATCAGTCTGCTGATCTGGGTCCAGGAGAACCATTCTCTGACGTCCAGATATGCACTGGCTTGTGCGACCTGCACACACACACACACACACACACACACACACACACACACACATCACACATCACACACACAATGGTAATGATGATACTGTAGTGGTAATGATGATTATAGCAATGAAATTTAAAAATAAGAGACTGCAGACGTAGCTCAGCTGTTTAAGAGTACTTGCAATTTGTGCATAGGACCTGAGTTCAATTCCCAGCATCTACATCAACTACCTACCTACCTGTAACTCCAGCTCTTGGCTGTCCAACACCTTCTTTGGGCTTCTGTGGGTACCATATCCCTCTGGAAACCCTCACGCTCACTCAGTGTGTTCACTGAAACTCTGTGTCCACTGAGCTCACCTTCACCGGCCTCTGATGCAGGGGAGTTCATTGAGACCATCCTTGCATACTGACAGGCTTATGAGGAACTGTTCTGGAGGTACCATATTAAATGTGTCCGGCCAGTGAAGAGAGATAACTACGATGCTCTGCGGTCCGTGTTGTTCCAGATCTTCAGCCAAGGTCTCTCTTTTCCACCGTGGATGAAAGAAAAAGACATCGTGAAGGTACGGCTCCCCACCGGGAACATGGTCGTGTTGGGGGGCTACTGGTCCTGGCTGGGTAGCTTTGTGCTCAGGATTCTCATGTTGAAGGAGCCTTGAGCATTGACAGGTTGTGTAGCTTGTTCCCTCTGTCAGTTTGCAGATAAGCCATCTCAGCATGCTGGTGTTCCCAGTCTTGTTCATCTTAAGGCTCTCAGCTTTTCTCGAGAGGCCTCTGTCCTCGAGAGGCATCCTCCTAAGTAAGGAGGTCTGATAACATGAACCGCTTTACTATGACGTAAATGTTTCTTAACAAAGGCATACAGAATGTGGTCACCACCCCAAGGCTCTCTCCTATACCTCTGTAGTCAGTGGTCCCCAGACCTCTAGTCTGCACAATTCCCAATCTGCTCTCTGTCCCTATGGTTTGCTGCTTCCGGTGTCATATGAATGGAATCATCTTAGCCCTTTGATTCTGGCTGCCTTCCCATAGCAACGTGCATCTGCATTTCCTCCACGCTGTTCCACGAATTCAGAAGTCATCGTTCTGCTCCTCCGATGTGGTCGTCCTTTATATGAACAGAACGCACTTTACTCACAGTTCAAGGGCATCTGGATGGTTTCCAGTGCTTAGCAACAATGAATGTGGCCATTAGGAATAGTCTTATAAGGGATTTTGTAGGTATAATATCTGTTTCTGTTAGGCAAATGCCCAGGAGTTAGATGTGTGGTGTGGGAGTGAAGTATGTGCTTAACTTTCCGAGGAACTTCCACGTGGCTCCCCAAGCCTGCGTGGCCTTTTTGCATTCCCACCAGCATAGTGTGAGAGTTGTGGCTGTCCCTCATGGTCTCCAGCACTTAGTATTGTTGGGTTTGGTTGTGTTTAGCCATTCTACTAGGTATACTTTGTTTCTTCTTATTCGTGTGTGTGTGTGTGTGTGTGTGTGTGTGTGTGTATGTGCGCGCGCGCGCACACTGTAGTCCATGTGCAAGTCAGAGGACAGTCCTGTGGAGCCAGTTCTCTTCTCCACCTCTACTACATGGGGTCCGGAGACTGAACTCTGGTCATCAAACTTGCACAACAAGCTCCGTTCCCCACCGAGCCATCCTGCCAGCCCCTCATTTGCTTTTAATGAATACCTGTCGGGTATCTTTTCATGTACCTGTTTGCAGTCCATAGCATCTCCTTGGGAAATTGTCTACTTAAATCTTTGGTTCATTTTTATCGGATTGTTTGTTTTCTTATTGTTTTGAAAATCCTTTATGTATTTTGAATATGAGGGCTTTCTTGGATATGTGATTTGTAGAGGTTTTCTTCCAGTCTTGTTTATTTGATCATTTTCTTCATAGTTTACGGCAGGATATTCTCTTTTTGGTTATCCTATGTAGATGGTATTTTGCCTGCATGTGTGTCCATGTACTGTGTACATGCAGGGCTGGGGCAGGCCAGGAGAAGGCAATGGGTCCTCTGGAACTGGAGTAACAGACAGTTGTGAACCACTGGGTGGGCGCTGGGAACTGAAGCCAGGTCCTCTGGAGGAGCAGCAGGTACCCTTAACTGCTGAGACATCTTTCCAGCTCCAGACATATATTTTTGATGAGCAATGTGACTTCTTATTTTGTGTGCAGTATGCTCAATTTAGGATGGTGGAGCAAGAAGTATGAAGTATACATATATGGTCCCATGTGCTCTGTCTCCTTGGTGTCTTTTCTTTTAAATTTATTTTCAGTAGTTCTGTTTCATACAGATACTTGTCAAATAAGTGTTATATGCTAACCCTGCTTCTAGTTAACTAGTATAAAGAATGTGACAGAAGTCCTGTGTTCATCCCCCAAGTTTGTGGGATATGGTTTCACAACTCACAGTGGAATAGGTTCTTATAGACACCATAGGCTAATCTATGCATCTCCCAGAATTTAATCGGGAGCTCTGTGAAATGAGTAACATTGTTATGCCTTTATATTGGGAGTTGAGGCAAAAGGATAAAAAAAAAAAAAATAGGAAGTGCTGGCTGAGTCCGTTCTCTGATCTGATGAGGGACAGCCAGGTTGGGAAGCATACTGTATCGTGGTGTGGCCCACCTGCTGCTTGGTGTCATTTCATTATGGATGGTTTCTAAAGGGTTACATCAGGGGCATATGGTGTTTTATCCAAAAACACTGTTTCTTTGGACATCATCTTAGATTTAGATTTTCGTTTAGAATATAATCTCAAAATCACTTAATCCACAAATCTAAAGCAAAGATGACTGTTGCTTTTTACGTAACTGACATGGTAGTCTTTCCGAGGGTTGTTGCCTGAGATAAGCTGGTGCGCTGCTGCATTCCAGATCATGCGTGCTAAGCGCTGAGACACTAATCATTGTTGGCATCTACTTCCTTTTCAAGCTTCCTGAAAAACTACTCTTTTCTCAAGGCTGTAACTGGATCCAGCAGTACAGTTTTGGACCTGAGAAGTATACAGGTTCCAATGTGTTTGGAAAGTTACGGAAATGTGTGGAGTTATTGAAAATGCAGGTGAGTGTTTAGGGAAAATTAAAAAAAAAAAAAGACCGATGATTAAAAAGCATCCATCTCAAACGCGGCCAGCTCCCTGTCATGTGGGCTGGATCCTGTGTCGTAGGGAAACGAAACTGAGCTCAGAAGGCCTCCTGCGGGCAGCCGTGGCTTGCTTTCTCCTACCAAGTAGTAAGGCAGAGTTAGTGTTCTGTGTGATGGTGACTTGGTCTGTTGTGGGGTAGAAGCTTCAGGGGCTGCATTGGAGACCAGACACACGGGGGGACTTTGTTTCCAATGTGGTACAAAGTCCAGCCTTCAGAAATGCCCTTCTGCAAGCATCCTGCTCATACCGGGATGGAGCAGGCGCAATAAGTAAGACCAAAAGCTCTGCCCGACTTAATAACAACACAGACTTGGTACGATGGAAAGCGTGTGGCGCTTACCTCTTACTGCTGGCTTATCTGGAGGACATGGCTTTCTGAGGCATAGCTCTCTTCCCTCTGAAGAACTGTGAGGAGTATATACCCTGCGTGGTTATATATCGGGAGGGTGTGAGTTAATCCACCTAAGGGCTTTGCAGAGTGAGCTTAGCCAGCCAGCAACTCGTGCACTGTTCTTCTCCGGCATAGCCTCAGGAAGACCCCAGACACTTGTAGAGAACTGGCGTGGTTGATAGTGTGCCTAGCAGTGGTATGTTTTGAGAAAAGCGATTTTATTTTGTTTCTTATTCTAAAACTAGGGTGTTTGTGTGTTATTCTGGGAGCTCAGGCTTTTCTTATGCCATAAACTGAGTGAGGGCTTACACAACCAATGATTATTTCTTGCAATTATGAAGGTTGGAAGTCTGAGGCCAGGAGGCTAGCAGGAAGTGACATTTGGTGACAGTCCTCTTTCTAGTTTATCAACAGGTGGACAGTTTTGGTTTTTTTTTTTGTTTGTTTGTTTGTTTTGTTATCACACCTCCCAAGCAGAGCCAGAAATTGCTTGGCTTCCTCTTGGAGGCACATCAGTCCCATTCATGAGGACTCTAACCCACAGAGGCCAGTCACCACCTAAAGGCCTCACCTCCTAAGGCTGTCTCCCTAGACTAAGACATTCAACACATGAGTTTGGGGAGGCAGGTGAACATTCAGCCCATTTCGGTATGCTTATAATTAAAAAGACTCCAAGAGTCCCAAAAGGTAGACATGAAAATGTAAAATTCTGCCCTCCTCCGCTGCCCTCCTTCTGTCCTCTTCGGCTTCTTTTATTAGTACTTTACAAGTTGTACAATGGTTTGTATGTTCCTGTTTGCCCTTCTCAGCTCACACTTAGCTCTGTATTTGTAGTGGACCGAGTTTAGTGGGATGAGAGACTATCACAAGAGAGGGAGCATGTGTAACATCCTCTTCTCCGACGCCATCCTGGAGTATAAACTGTACGAAGCTTTGAAGTTCATCATGCTCTACCAGGTCACGGAAGTGTACGAACAAATGAAGACGAACAAGATTATCCCCAGCCTCTTCAGACTCCTGTTCTCCAGGGAGTCCTCCTCAGATCCCTTGAGCTTCATGATGAACCACCTGAATTCCATAGGTGACACCTGTGGATTGGAGCAGGTGAGTGGGACTCACGGGGTGTGATCCAGGGATGACCTGGCAGTCTTGGAACGTGTGGGTCTTTAGGGTTGATGTTCAGCCGTCGATGAAACCAACTGCACAGAGGCGGCTGGCTGAGATCGCTGGCTGTTGCGTCCTGTGAGTCCGAGGACCCTTGGACCGGGGAGGACTGGTTCATAGAGTCTTGTGACCACGCAGATACTAACTGGGAAGAGGTCACTCTGAAAGCCAGATCAGTGTTGCTGACAAAAGTTAGTAACAACCAGCTCTAAGGTCAGAGAGAGCCCCTCCCCATGACAAAGGTCGTCTGTTTACTTGTTTCCTGTCCAAAAGAAATGGTCAATCAGATGACATCTCACTAAGACATCAAATTGGTTAGAAAGCAATGCGGTTCTTAATAGCAAGCACCCTCCCCTCTCCCCTTCCCCTCTTCCTCTTCCCCTCCCCCTCTTTTTTCCTTTCCTTTCCATTTTCCATTCTGTATTCACTTCCTTTCTCCTTCCCCTCCCTTCCCTTCCTTTTCCTTTCTCTGTGAGGCAGGGTCTCATTCTGTAGCCCAGGCTGGTCTGGAACTCACGATGCAGTCTAGACTGGTCTCCAGCTCATGGAAGTCCTCTTGCCTCCGCCTCCACAGTGCTGGGATTGAAGCTGTGAGCCACTGCCCAGGCTTGAGTGTTCCTTCCTGTTTCTGAACAGTTTCTCCTGTCTCCCTAGACATGGTCCTGCTCTCCTTCCTCACCGTGGGCATTTGTCCCCAAGTCATGCCCACTTGCTCTATGGGTTACTCTGATACAAAGTGGGTCATCTCATAAACCATAGCAGGCCCCATCGTGGTGGGAGTGTATAAATTCAGTCTGTGACCTCGCTTTCATCTCGTCCCCAGATTGACATGTTTATACTCGGGTATTCCCTTCAAGTAAAGATAAAAGTGTTCCGACTGTTCAAGTTTAACTCCAGAGACTTTGCAGTCTGCTATCCTGAGGAGCCTCTCAGGGAGTGGCCAGAGATCTCCCTGCTGACCGAGAATGACCGCCAATACTACATCCCTGTCTTTTAAGTCTGTGGTGGACTGAACATCATCGGCTTTTCTCAGCGACAGTGGTCAAACTTGCCAAAAAAGTATTTCTGAAAAACCCACGGTAGTGTTTTAGCCAAGGAGGGCACCAAGACCTACGGGAACACTGGGTGGAGGGAGCCAGGGTGGTTCGCCTTTCTCCTTCAGAGATTTCTCCACAGCAGCACACACCTGAGGTTTGGGTTGACTTTGTCCTAAGGGATCTGCTGGATTCACATCATGATGTGCCTTTAAGACCTAGAGAAACTTAGTATGGAAACATTGGAAGGGAAATGGCTGACCTCAGCAGCAGGAACTTTTTATCTCTGACCTTTGTATTCTTTAGTAAGACTCTCTCCTGGGATTTGGGACAATCATAAATAAACAGGGCCATGTTTTATAAGCATTACCTTCCTGGGATTCTTTGTTGTTTACTAATTTTCTAGAACCACCTGATTAATGTTACAATATTGTGTGCTCAAGAAAACCCACAGAACCAACTAACCTGGCCTCATAGGGGATCACAGAGATTGAACCAACAACCAGGGAGCCTGCATGGGACTGACCTAGACCCTCTGCTACAGATGTGTACAGATGTTCCAGATGTGCAACTTTGTCTTCTTGTGAGACCCCTAACAGTGGGAGCAGGGGCTGTCTCTGACTCTGTTACCTGCCTCTGGGACCCTTTCCTCCTACTGGATTGTCTCATCCAGTCTTAACAGAAGAGGGGGTGCCTGGTCTCACTGCAACTTGATATACCATGGCTGGCTGATATCCATGGGAGGCCTGTCCCTGTCTGAAGAGAAACAGAGGAGGAGTGGATGGAGGAAAAAAGAGGAAGTGTGTGGAGGGGGGACTGAGAGGAGAGGAGGGAGGGGAAACTTTGGTCAGGATATAAAAACAAAAATAGTATCATGTGTGTGTTTATATATACACACAAATGTATTTATATATACACAAACAACCACTGGTTTGTAATATTGTACAGTTTCTTTATATTTCTACTTTTTTTTGGGGGGTGGGAAACTGTTGAGCAAGCTTATGACTGTTTATTTAAATAAAAAAAGATAAAGTCTATGGATTTGGACAACTGTACGATAATTTTTGAATTGTCATTAAAAACATGAAGCTATGCTTTAATCTGTATTTACATTTCCATGTAAATATAGTAGAATGAGTGGAATCCTGTGATTGGCTGAGTAACATTCCAGGTACAGAGGGGTCTGTGTCATCCCAGAATCCCTGAAGACTTTGGTTAAATGGCAAAAGAGAATTCAAGTACAGGTAGGACTGATGGACCAGTACTCTGACCTTGAAGGAAGGCCATTCATCGGGCCTCTCCAGGTGGCCCTGGTGTGATGGGAAGGCCCATAAAGGTGGAAGTGGGAACAAGAGTTACTGTGTCAGTGGACACTGTGAGCTATGGAAGCATCACTAGCTTTGAAGATAGAGGAAGAGGCAATGGGTGCTGGGATCTCTAGGAACTAGAAAAGAGCAGAAACATACTCCCCACCCCAGCCCCAGAAAGAATGACTGTGCCAACACCTTGCTACTGGCCTGCTGATGTCTCAGTCAGACCTCTAACCTCTAACCCTGTAGGGTAATGGATTTGAATTTAAGCCTATTTTTGTTTTGTTTGGGGTGGGGGGTGGGGAGGAGAGACAGAGCAAAGAGTAAATAGCAAACAACTATAGGCCTCTCTAGGTTTGTAGCCATAACATAATGCAGAAATGCATTCAGTCCAACTTCAAGTCCCCATAGTCTGTCACAGTCTCAAATTTGCTTAAAAGTCCAAAATCCAAAGTCTCTTCTGAGATTCGTGCAATCTCTTAACTGTAATCCCCTGTAAAATCCAAATGAAAATTCAGATCACAAACTTCTAACCTACGGTGGCACAAGGCATACATTAGAATTCCAAAAGGGAGCATAATGAGGAAATACTGGACCAAAGCAAGACTAAAAACCAGCTGGACAAACTCCAAACTGTATCTCCATGTCTGATGTCAAAATGCTCTTCAGATCGTCAACTCCATTCATCTTTGTTGACTGCAACACACTTCTTTCTCTTAGGCTGGTTCCACTCCCTTAGCTCTTCCTAGCAGCTCTGGCATCTCCACAACTTTAGATTATCCAAGGCATTCTAGGCTTCACCTTCACAGTTTCACACAATGGCCTTTCTAGTCCTCCATGTAGGAACACCCCAGTACATGTCTGGTCTCAGCAGCTTTCCTTAGTTGTAGAGGGAGATTTCATAATCCCTTTCTTCTATCCTTGACTCTAAAGCCAGAACCATGTGGCCAAAGCTGCCAAGTTCTGCTTATTGCTGGGGCTGGAACATGGCCCCTTCATTCAATTACATCTTCATTAGCTTTCTGTTTTAGATGGTTTCCCCCACTGCCTAAGCTTGGCTGTCTTGGAACTCTCTCTGTAGACCAGGTTAGCCTTGAACTCAGAGATCGGCCTGCCTCTGCCTCTGAAGTGCTGGAATTACAGCCACACCTGGCTTTGTGCTTTTCTTTAATTCCTTTTCACAAGTTGGATCTTGCCCTGAGGTCACCACTTCCTTTATTCCTTTTAACATCAGACTTTTCTTTAATTTCTTTATCTCTGAGAACACAGGATTTATCTCCGTTCCACTTCCTAGTGCCCCCTTTCTCCTTGAACTATACATTTTGTTGCTTATGCAGATTGATAAGGAAAAGGAACAAGTTAGTTGGAGAAATACAAAATGTACAGTTCGAGGTGTTCTCCTAGCTCAGCTTGCTCCTTTTCCTTATCAATCTGTATAAGCATGCACACTAATAACCACATGACAAAGTCAATATGCTGTTGTGAGATTTCCTCTGCCAACTGAATTAATACAAAACTCTTCAATTTAGGCTCAGGCAGATTTTTTTCAGACAAGGGCATAAAACAGCCACATTCTTAACCAAAATATCACAAGAATAGTCTCTAAGCCACATACTAACATTCTTGTCCTCTGAAACCTCTTGATTCAGGTGCCCGCAGTTCAAATCACGCTCAGCACCACCGTCTCCCATGTTCCTACTAGGATGGCCCATTAAGCCCCACTCAAAGGGTTGAATTGCTTTTCGAGTCCAAACTTCCAAGTCCACATTCCTCCAAACAAAAGCATGGTCAGGCCTATCACAGCAATACCTCAGTCTCTGTCTTTAGGTTTTATTGCTGTGAAGAGACACCATAACCACAGCAACTCTTAGAAAGGAAACATTTAATTGGGGCTGGCTTATAGTTTCAGAGGTTTAGTCCATTATCATCATGGCAGGAAACACGGTGGCATTCACACAGACATGGTACTGGAGAAAGAGCTGAGAGTTCTACATCTTGATACACAGGCAGCAGGAAGAGAGTGGCTGAGATTTCAAAGCCCACCCCCACAGTGACACACTTCCCCCAGCAAGGCCACACCTATTCCATCAAGGTCACACCTCCTAAGAGTGCCACTCCCTATGGGCCAAGCATTCAAACACATGAGTCTGGGGGCCATACCTGTCAAACCACCACTGGGGTAGGGGGATCGTAAACATTTAGTTAGCTCACTGAAGACCATCTTGTCCATCTCTCTACCTAACTGCATGGATGGGATTGTGAAGGTCAGAGACATTACATAATTTTACACAGTTTTTTCTCTTTATTTATAGAACTTTAATATACAATTTCTTCCTTTCTTTTTATTTTTATTTTTTTCTGGTTTTTCGAGACAGAGTTTCTCTGTGTAGCTTTGTGCCTTTCCTGGAGCTCACTTGGTAGCCCAGGCTGGCCTCGAACTCACAGAGATCCGCCTGCCTCTGCCTCCCGAGTGCTGGGATTAAAGGCGTGCGCCACCAACGCCCGGCAATTTCTTCCTTTCTTAAGATTCAATTTGTGTGTGCATGTGTGTGTGTGTGTACATACAAAGTGCCCATGGCAACCAGAAAAGGGCATTAGGTATCCTGGAGCAAGTGTTAATAGTCTATTGTGAACTGCCCCATTTTAGGTGGTGGGAAAGTATCTTAGGTCCTATGAAAGAGTAGCAAGCTCAGAGAACACATTTAACTGCTGAGGTACCTATGTTCCTTACATACAGTTTCTCATTTTGAAGTGATAAATCTTACAGAATTATAAACAACATTTTATGGGGGTAGAATCTGCATACCTCTTAAACTTTGTTGACATGAATGATCACATAGAATTATGTGTAAGGGAGTGGAATCTGCAGATTGGCTGCTAAAGTTCATCATGGGTCCAAATTCCAGAGGATAAAAGATCAGATGCACAGCTGGCAATTTTCTTCATGTCCTCTAGAAACTAGTACATTTCTTGGGAAATTGCATCAATCTGAAGCATGCTCAAGAACCTCATTCTGGCCATAAAGGGTTTCAGTTGAATCAATCTTAATCCTTGAGTACATCCAGGATACATGTCTGGGCTTCTACTGTCATAGATGATTTCCTAAAGAAAATAAATTGCCTAATAACTTGTTCAAGAATTCAGTAATAAAAACACTTCATTGATCATAAGTAATATACGTTATTTCATAAGTTGTCTATTTTTATCATGTGTATGCAAGTATTCACCATGTTTTAGATGAGAAAATGACCCTAATAGAGGTAATGAGTCAGTTACATATGTTTGTTAAATAAATACATGAACGAGGTAGTATAGCAGATACTGTATTTCCTATGCAGGTGCTCACAAAATGTACATAAGTCAATCATGAATACCATAACATATTGAAGTGCTAAAGAAGTATCACTTTTAGAAAACTGTAGCAGACTTTGGTTAGCCATTCCCATACACAAAGTATGGCAGCTGTTGGGGGGATCTGTCCGTGGTGCTGAAAAGGGTCTGCCACAGATGTTCAAGGATGCTCTAAAACTATGGTACACGTTTTCTTCTAGGCTTCTGTTTGGGGTGTCAACAATACAGATAAAAATTATTATTTGCTAGATATTGTTTCCTACTTAAAATTTGAAGGGATTTAAGAATAACAGCTGTAGTGTTAGATTGCATGCTGATAAATTCAATTTTGTGATGTATATAATCCAGTAGATTTTAGTGAATTCATAAAGCTTTAGAACTGCCATTGCTATCTAATTTTAGAACATGTTAACTACCACAAAAAGTAATCTTATATCCATGAGTGATAACTCAATATTATCTATCCCTGATCTATTCCTGATCCTCTGGCAAGCATAGATCTACCTCCTATCTATATAGATCTGTCTATTCTGGATATTTCATGTAGGGAGGATCATTCAGTATGGCCTTTCATAACTGATTTCCTTTACAAATCAAGTTTCAGGGATTGTGTTTGCATTGACATGAATCAGTGCTTTACTGCTTTTAATGGACAGATCTCTTGTGTGAACATACCACGTTTTATTGATCTGTTCAGCAGTTGGTGGG